GATGTGCTGGTCCCCAAGCGCCCCGAGGGTTGTGAGGTAGTTTTGCGGATCGCCGTGGCCGGACACTGCGCGGGCTCGCCGGACTGTTACCCTGACAGGGTCTCTACGTGGGGTCCGAGGGGCACCTTTTCACTTCCTCTCAGGGACCAGCCCAAGGCCAAGACCTGATCGAGAAAATACGGGTAAAGGGCGGAACTTCGGCAGGCGCAGCAGCCGGGCCGCAGCGAAAGGAATCTGCCGGCCCGGAAGGGCAGACAGCCCCGCGTCGACCGGAAGCGCTGCTCGGGAGGCGGAAGCGCTGCTCGGGGGTGCGGCGGGACCCCTGCCACTGCGGGCTGCTGCTAGGAAAAGGACTTTGAAAGGCCAGCCGATTCGTGTCGGTCACGGTGAGGTATTGCTGTAGGACCCAGTGCATGCACACAGTCCTGCATTCAGTATATTTGACCAATAAATGTGTTCTGCTGGTGTGCCACTCTTCAGACATTGGCAGGTGTTTTAGAGAGATGTTTTAGATTTTTAAAAAACGAATATATGACTGTAAATAAGAGCAGCAGCAGCCTGGAGCTCAGGAAGGCTCTCCTTTTGTACCAGACATAGAAGGTTCAGAGAGGTTCTGAATAGAACAGAAATCGAGGAACCCCAACTCAACTCCAAAGCATACTTCGAGCTTCTCCCCGCATCTGCACCTGCAATTGTTTTAAACAGGTTCTTGCTTTGTAGTTCAGGCTGTCCCTGAGCTCACTATGTAGCCCATACTGGCCTCGAACTGGCAGCGATCCTCTCTGCTGCCTCAGCCTCCCTGGCATTGCAGGTGAGCGCCACTCCCAGCTTGCAGTTTGACTTAAAGTCACTAGGAATATCTACTCTACTCATTTTCCCTAGGCATGATTCATGTATTCATGATATGGATACATACAGTATTGTGCTTATAATAGAAATTTCTGTCTGTGATGTCATTCTCAAGATTTTCATCCCATATTTACCTTGTGAATCTATCGTAACCTGAGAATAGCTAAAACATTCTACTCATAATTTCATACCCTTCAGATGATATATCTACATCCAAATGCATCCGTTCAGCTTCTTTGCACAATCCTTGGAAGGAGAACAAGTCCTAGGTTCTCCCCTTGCCTTGAAATCACTAGGGCCTGAAACCAACAAATAAGAGTAATCAAAGTCAGATATAGAAATCTGTATCTATATATGCCACTTTCATAAGAAAGTTATTTTCCGCAAATCCATTCCTTTGCTTTTGTTTTCACAGGAAGAAAAAAATGTCTCGAAAGCAGATGAAAGAAGCTTTTGTCAGTAACCTCAATGGAACTAGTGTGCTGGAAATCACGCAGGGCTTGTGTTTACCTGCATTCTGTATCCTGTGCAGAGGACTCCTGATCATTTCCTTACAACACTTGTGTTCTTTTTCACATACCTGGAGAACTCAATTCTTAATTGACTTTGTTGTTCTAGTAGTTCCCCTTGTGACTGCTTTGACCATTTTGTCTTCATTTGTCTTCCTTGAGCTTCTCATTGTAGTTATCTGTGGGGCATGGCTGTTCTATCAAATATATCTAAGGAGGACTTGCTATGCTAGAGTGCCTGTCCAGAAAATCCTTGAAAAATTCTTGCAAGTCAGCCTAGAATCAGAATACAATCCAACCATCTCCTGTTACCGTGTATCTAACAGTGTATTTGTCGCTATTGCCATTTTGGCTGTGGACTTCCCACTTTTTCCTAGAAGACTTGCTAAAACTGAGATGTATGGGACAGGGGCAATGGATTTTGGAGTAGGTGGCCTTGTTTTTGGGACTGCAATGGTTTGTCCAGAGGTCAGAAGGAGAAAATACACTGATGGATCTGCATTTTATCTTCTAAAATCACTGTACTCTGTTTGGCCATTAATTGTCTTAGGTATAGGACGATTAGTTACTATAAAATCTATAGGCTATCAGGAACATTTAACTGAGTATGGTGTGCACTGGAACTTCTTCTTTACCTTAATTGTTGTGAAACTGGTAACAACAGTGCTTTTGCTTGTTTTCCCCTTAAATAAATCCTGGATCTTGGCCATCAGCATTACCGTGTTATACCAGCTAACCCTTGACTTAACCCCACTGAAGCAGCTGATTTTGTATGGCACTGATGGCAGTGGCACAAGGATTGGTTTACTAAATGCTAACAGAGAAGGAATAATCTCTACTTTGGGGTATGTGGCAATTCACATGGCTGGTGTGCAAACAGGATTGTATGTGTTTAGGAACAGAATACATATCAAAGACTGGATAAAAGTAGCATGCTGTCTTCTACTAGTAAGTATTAGCCTCTTCATCTCTCTCTACATAGTTCAAGTAAACATAGAGGCAGTGTCTCGGAGAATGGCCAATTTAGCCTTTTGTATGTGGATAGTAGCTTCTAGCCTCATCTTTCTTAGTTGTTTATTATTGACTGATATAATTTTGAGTTTTGCCAAATTTCTGATTAAAGGTGCTCTAGTACCATGTTCTTGGAAACTTACCCAGTCACCTGCTACAAATAAAAAGCATTCTGAATTTCTACCCAAAGCTGAAAGAAAGGACCCCAGTCCTTGTTTAATCACAGCTCTGAACAGAAATCAGCTAATATTTTTCTTGTTGTCAAATATAACAACTGGCCTGATCAACCTAACAATAGATACATTACACAGCAGTACTTTGTGGGCATTATTTGTGCTCAATGTCTATATGTTTACCAATTGTTTAGTTATATATATACTCTATTTGCAAGGTAAAACCATAAAGTTTTGGTGATGAGAGGTAGGATGTACTTATCTTTGTGCAGCATATTAATGGGAACAATAAATGTGAAAAAAATATGCTTTTGGGGATGGAGATTTAGCTCAATGACACTGCACCTGCCTCACAAGTGCAAGGTCATGAGTTCAATCCCCAGTACACCCCAAAAAAGTGCTTTTTGGAAATCCAATCTTTACATATGCTGTTACAAAAGTTTCAGTTAGATGTGGTGGCGCATGGTTGTAATCCTAACACTCAGCAGAGGCTGAGGAAGGATTGCAGTTTGAGGCCAGCCTATGCTATGTAGTGAGTTCAAGGTCAGCCTGAACTACACAGTGAGACCCTGTCTCAAAAAAAGAAAAAAAAAACAAAAAACTAAAAACAAACCCCTAAAGTTCCACTCCTCTCTAATAGTAATGTTTTTTCTTTCTATTTGAGTAGGCTTCTCACTAATTTGCCCAAGTGGGGGTCAACCTGCCTCAGCTTCCTGAGTAGTAGGGATTACAGGCAAGTGCCACTGGGCCTGCCTGCTTAGTTTCTCAGCATTATATAAAACCAATGGAAAAGAAATAAAGGCTTGTAACTTGTTAAAATTTGTTAAATGCCAGTTTTTTTTTTTTTTTGGTACCCGGGATCGAACTCAGGACCTTGCATTTTCAAGGCAGGAGGTGGCATCACTGAGCTAAATCCCGGGCCCTAAATGCCATTATTTTAAGAAACTTCAGAGTTTTGACACTGGAATATGGGAAAGTTGGGATTTTTTTGTATCTTAATATTACCTTATGTCATTTTGTATTTTTCATTGTATTTTATAATGTTTACATTAAATGGAAAGTTTATGTGTCATTTCAGTATAAAGTCAGATTGTCAGTACTTTTTTATTGCTCAATTTTAGTCTTTTTCTAAAGCCTAGGAAAAAGTAGCAAGTGTTTAAAATCAAATACTTAAGAATTGAGAAAAGTTCCCAATACTGAATTGTTTGGTATAGTTTATGCATATAATAATTACAAGACAATAAAAGTTCTGCTTTGAGACATTTATTTTAGCCTGCTCTACTAGGGATATAATGAAAGGCAAGGCAAAAATTTCCTGAGATTAAACAAACATTACAAACTGTTAAGTCGGGAAAAAAAAAGTATAGGTTGCTACAGTGTCAAAGAACTGATCTAGTAAGGAGTCAGAGTTTTCCCCATAGATATTTTGATCAGGGATGGGATGAATGTATGTGGGTTAGGGGACAAATGAGAGGTGGACACCAGAATACACTAGATAGGATGAATTGAATCCCTCAGCTAAAGTCCTAAGTTGGGCAGGGACCCAGAAAATTTTATAATGGAAAAAGCTGGAAGTCAGAAAAGGGGAGCAAAGGCAGGTCAGGTATGCCTCCTTTACCTTGTTAAAGGGAAAGTCAGGAAAAATGAGTCATCAAGTACCTACTTTAATAAAACTATGGTTATAATAAGGTGCTTGTGTAGTACTAGAAAGTGAACCTCTGCCCTTTTTTTTGGTACTGGAGCTCAAACTTGGGCTCCAGTGCTTGTGAGGCAGGTGGTGAAACCACTGAGCCAAATCCCTGGCCCGTTTTTTTTGTTTTTTGAGACAGGTGCTCTCTTGCTATATAGTTCAGGCTGGCCTCAAACTAGAAACAATTCTGCCTCAGCCTCCCAAGTGTTGGGATTACAGGTGTGCACCACCACACCAAGAAAGATCTTGATAAGTGGCTAAATTGCCCAAATGGGGCCTGAATTTAGGACCCTCCTTGCCTCAGGCTCCCAGAGAGCTGGGATAAAGATATGTGCTGCCACATCTGGTTTATGTTAAGCTTTAGTATCTTACTGAGAACTGGAGTCACTCACAAACTCCAAGCTGACTTTTGAACCTGCTGTTCAAATGGTGGCATACATCTGTAATCCCAGACACTCAGGAGGCCAAAGCAGGAGAATCCATTGCTCAAGGCCAGCCTGGGCAATTTAGAGAGACCTTGTTTCAAAATTTAAAAAAGGGGACTAGGGATGTAGCTCTAGTGATTAGAGCACTTGCCTAGCATGTACCAGGCACTGTTTGATCCCCAGCACTGGGGAAATAGGAAAATCGCAAGTTTTGCCCAACCTGGGCAATTTAGCCATTTAGCAAGAACCTCAAAAAATAAAAATGGCTGGGATGTAGCTCAGTGTCAGGGCCGAGTTTCATCTTCAGTATTTAAATATAAAATTTAAAAACCCCACAAAACTTCAGTTTTTAGTTATAAATTTCAGTGTATGTATCATTGAAGTGGGCAAAAGATAAATAAAATTTGACTTTAGTTCTGTTTTCAAGTAAAAATCAATGTAAAAATAGCTAACGGTCAGAATGTTTGATATTTGGTAAGCAATATGTATAGAGCAGGAGGAGCCTCTTCTGATATTATATTGTACATTTGTCATTTTAGTTACCTCCAAATTAATTTAAAATTTATTATTTGTAGTTCTGGGGATTGAACCAACCCAGGGACTTGTGCATGCTAGGAAATTCTCTTACCACTGAGCTAAACCCTTTAGCCCCCAAATTTATTTGTTTTTGAGACAGGGTCTTGAGATGTAGCTCAGGACCTTTATACTGAGCTACACCTTCAGCCTTTAAAAATTAAAAAAAGAAATCTGGGTGTGGTGGCGCACCCCTTAATCCCAGCACTCGGGAGGCTGAGGCAGGAGGGTCGCTGTGAGTTCGAGACCAGTCTGGGCTACATAGTGAGTTCCAGGTCACTCTCCACTACATAGTGAGACCCTGTCTCAAAAAAAACAGAAAAAAAAAAATTTAAAAGGGCTGGGGATTTGGCTTAGTCTTTCTGCTGACTGCCTTGTAGCACAAAGACTGGAGTTCGATCCCTGGTACCATTAAAAAAAAAAATCTGAAAAAAGTAAAATAAATTAAAAAAATTTTTTTAAACAGGGTTTTTATTTTTATTTTTTGTGGGTACCGGGGATCAAACTCTGGAGCTTGCACTTGTGAGGCAGGCCCAAGAACCACTGAGCTAAATCCCTGGCCCAGGCTTTTTATATTAAATGGAATGTTTACAGGTTTTTGTTAAGTTGCTCAGGCTAGGTTCAAACTTGTATTCCTCCTGCCTCAGCTTCCCAGAGTGCTGCGATTACAAGCATGTGCTGGCATGCTCGGTTAGGAGGTGTAGGGACCAAATTTTCTGATCAAGGTGGGCTCCCTCTTTGCCCTTTGCTCAGAATGTGGAGACCAAGTTTTCTGGGCAGAGAGCTGCAGAAATTCCATTCTGTATAACAACCTCCTCCCTGTTTTTCTGTTGCTCTTCTGACCCAAGGGTGAACCTATCCCCTCCCCGATAGTTGCTTAAGTTTGTAATAAGTTAGAGATAAGTTAAGAAAACCACATGCTATGCTAAGCATAGAGAGTTTAATAATTTAATAATTGTTTAATCATATAGGGTATTCTTTGGAAAAAGAACATAATGACCCCCGCTGAATCTGCCCCTCCTCGTGGGCATTGGTTATTTCCCGCTTCTATCTTATTCCCGTAAGTACCCCAGCAATATCCAATAGCAATAGAAAGTTAAAAATAGCATCAATAAAAAGGAGAAAGAGTTTCAAGCCTCCCCAACCCTATATAATCATGCTCTGAAAGTGAGTCGGGGCTCTCGTTTCTGATCCTCTTGTTCGGTGAGGTACGGGGGCCCAGGCTCTAGTTTGCCAGGCTCGAGCCTGCAATAAACTGATCATGTAATTACATCAGACTCAACTCCTTGGTGTTCTCTGGGGACAACGCGATCTGGGTACAACAGAGGCTACCTTTTTACTGTGGATATTATTTTTCCTTATAAAATTTCTAAGTGAAGAAAATATATTTCTATTTTTAATAGAGCCTCCCACTGTCAATTCATGAAAAAAACCCAATTTACAGATTCTCACATACAACTACTATATTTAAATAACGTAGTGATTTTTTACCTTAACAAAGTTACAAACACTACAGAAGGTATTTTAATCAAATACCATTTTCCTTGCTAGTAATGTGTTCAGTAATGAATAACTAAAATAGCAACTGAATTACGTGTTACTCTCAATATTCTTTCTTTACCAAGCCATGTACCAAAAGAAGTTAAAAGATTTAAAGTAGATACAGGAGCACTTCTAGACCCTAAAAGGCACAGTATTCTTACGAGTGTTTTTGCACTTGTGAGGCAGGCGTCAGAATCGCTGAGCTAAATCCCCAGCCCTCTGAGTGTTTTATAATGCAGGATTCCTTAAAAATGTCCATATTTTGACTGTGTCCTGTAACCTGTCACAAGCTGCATGTACACCCTATACACCTATGGGATTTAAACTAGTATACGGTTCTGCTTTCTTAATATGAAGAAACGGAACTAGGTTCTTCCAGCTTATTATGTCACTTACCCTAACAGTGACCACACAATGTCATGTCAGCATGGCTAAGGATGCTACGGAGTTTTTGTTGTGAATTTCTAAGACTTCATATAATAACCAAAATACCTTTTAAAGGTCAGTAACAAAACTCTAGCCTATTGTACCAGGAAATACAGAGCTGTCTTTATCAGTTATAAGAGCAATAAATGTATTTATCCTTAAGGTCATGCAGACCTTCACAGGCAAAATACATCCCAACTGTTCTGCCCTTACAACTGGTCTTTAAAGTCTTCAAGGTAGGATCTGAGTGCACGGAGTGGACGGCGTACAGGAACTGTCTTTACAGCAGCTCTGCTTCTGAGAGTCGGTCAGTGGGAACGGCCTTTGGCCACCACCAGTCCTTTTCCCAAAGGAGTCCCTAAATTAATTATTAACTCAGCCCAAACTCAAGCTCCTTTGACCAAGACACATACAAAAGCCACCATCCAGTGTTCTAGCTGCCTCCAACGCAACAAAACCAATAACCTGTCAACAAGTCTCCCGGCGGGATCTGGACGCAGTCTCAGCTCAGAGGCAGATATGCAGCCAGCTCCCGCTCAATCAGCTGGGGAGGCAGGGTCCTTTCCTCCCCAATCTATCCTGTGGTGGGGACTAAGTGGTGTTAAGTGCCTGGAAACCAAGGCCAGCGTTTGACTCTAGGCCCCGTTTGCTCCTTTCCTTCACTGACCTTGGGAGCCTTAGCTCCTCACCACTTACCCAAGTCCTCCCCCCCGGCCAAGACACCGAGTTAGCTCGTCTGGGCTCCCTTCATCCCTCGACCCTCCGGATTGCTGTTCTCAGCCCCGCGTGGAGGAGGACTGAGGTGTAAGCCCACTTAGTCCTCCTATTAGCCCTATTTCGGGTTTGAGGACCTACGCTCGGGAGAGCACGGGGAACAGGAGGCGGCCGTCCCGCAGTACCCCGAACCTTTCCTCAGGCTTCCGGAGCCGGGACGCGAAAGCCGCGGCCCGCAGTCTCGCGAGAAGAGGAGGGGACCCCGCCCAGAGCGCTCG